CGGGGGTTGTTGTTGTCTTTTTTGTACCGTCGCTGTCTTTCTTGTGACCTCGAAGGCGATGTACTGGTGGTCGCTGGCCGTGTAGTCTTCGACCACCCGCCATCGCCTCACTTGTGCCAGCAGTCTGTCTGAGGTCATTGTCACGTCTGGGATAGAGTTACCGTATCCCGGTCGTCTGTATGTCGGCGTGTTTCCGGTGGTTGCTACTTCTAGATCTAGCCTTGAGGTCATTTCCAGAAGCAGCCGTACTCGTTTGTTCGTCGTTGTCATGCCCCACTCGATCGTTCTCGAGTTGAAGTCTCCAGCGACCACTAAGTCCCCAGGCAGTTCCCTGATCCCGTCCTCGAGGGCCGCTACCTTTCTCCCGAACTCCGCCGCGTCACAGTTGGGGGTCAGGTAGACACTGACATAAGTAACAGTACCTACTTTGACCCAGACATAGTCTTCCCCCGCGCCACAGTCGGTTATCCAAGAACAGGCAGCGCCCCTCACCCAGATAGCTACCGCCCCTCGTCGTTTGTAAACCACGTCCGTGTTGTCCGTTTTCTGTATGTCTCACATAATATAAGTATGTCAGCGTCCAGTTCGTCCGCTATCTGTAGTAGCATGTCAGCTGTCCTGCTGCGGTTCAGGTTTCCCTGGATTACACTGTTCGTCGTCCGGCCCGCTGCCTGCACTCCTCCAGCGCGGCCCGGAACCCAAGAGATGCGCCGCGTCCATCTGTCCTGCCTCGGCGCATAAAGAGCAGTTCGGTCTGTTTCTGCAGTCCGTCGCGTAGTGTCCATTCTCACCATATTTCCTGCTGTTTTTCGTTCTGTCTGGTCCTTTGCAGCTCGTCTTTATGTGTCCAAAGCCCAGGCATTTGTAATCACTGTACATTGTCGTCACTGTGAGTCGTTTCCGTACGCGACATTAGACCCATCCTATCCCGATCCGACCGTGTCCGAGTAACTTCTCGGCTTCCCGCGATTCAAGGTCGCAGACCGCCATGTAATGCTCGGCCCGGTTCGGGCCAAAGATATGGGTACCAAAGTCCCCGCGCCGTCCTGTCTCCCGTCGTAGTGCCTGTATTACGTCCTCTCTCGTCATAACGCAATCCAGGTCTATGATCTCCACTTGGGCCGGGGAGGTCATGGCTTTTACGCTGCCGTCATCGCCGACAGCGTTTTGGAGCGCGCGACGAAAGTCGTCTCGTCCGTCCGTGGTTGTCTGCATCTTAATGAGGCATAGTCCGTCTCTCGTCTTTCTTACAGTCTTGACCGTCACGTTGTTTTTGGTCGGGTCTACCGTCTCTCGTATTTTCCGTACAATGTCTGAGTACGTCTTGTCTTTCCCGGGCTTGACCAGTACGGCAAATCCCGGTTGCTTGGTGATCGGTCTGTGCCTTTCGGGCCGGGTGTGTACGTTCGTCTTGTCCGTCTTTTTCCGTTCGTTCGTCTTCGATTTCTTTTTTACCATCGTCTGCCAGGAGACAGCCGATTCCACTCTCGGGGTCCTTTTTTGTGCGGTCTCCGGAGTGGTCCCAGTCGTCTCCCGTTTCTGTTTTGTTCGTGGCGTTTCCTGTTTGTTCGTCTCTGTTTCCGTCTCCGTGGTTCTATCGTCGTCGTTAGTCCGTCGCCTCGAGACCGTCGTGACACACTTGTTAAGCGCGATGTCGGCGGCTTCGAGGATCGTCTTGATGCCTGTCTTGCGGTTATGTTCATGTTCTTCTGGATGACCACTGCTTCTGCCATCCTTGTTGCTGTCGTTTGTATGATCGTCAGCAGCTCCGTCAGGTCTCGTTTTTGTAGCGCTGTAACGTCTAATCTTGGTTGTCTTGCCTGTCCCGTTTTTGATTTCGTCTGTCTATCGTCGTTGTCGGTGATAGAGGTGAGGCTCGATGCGCTACCTACGCTCGATACGCTCACCGTTCTGTCCCGTTTCTGCGGGTCTAGGAGTACTCGTCCCGTTTTTTCGTCTTTCTTATCCGTCTTTTGTGTCACTTTATTCGGCGTAGAATTTTTGCACTTACTGCGGCCCTCAGAATCCTCGCCACTGCCATGGGCCACCAGATCTTTCTTCTGGTCGGAACCCAGGGTGGATTGTCCCTGTATAGGGTATACCATCTGAGGTATATTTATGTTTTGTTTGTGCATATCATCGATTGTTTTATTCCGTGTTCCATCGGGTTCCTCGGGGTCGCGGTTCCCGTGCCGTGCTGGAACGTTGCACGGCCCCTGAGGGAGTATTTGTGTATGTCCGTATTAGCGACGCCTGCTGGTTCATTCACTCTGGGAGAACCCGTTTATAAGGACCTCAACCATTCGCTTTTCAGAATATCCCGTTTATAGGGACTCTGGCCATTCGCATTACTAGAGGGTCGCTCGGACACATTTGGAAATTGAAAAATTATTTTTCAATCAAATAAAAAAAATAAAAAACTAACTCAGCCCACTCTGGGACTGGCGGAGATAATCGCAGAATTAGTCAAAGTTTTTTTTTAGAAAATAAAAAAAAATGAAAAATGGCGAACTTCTAGAAAATAACAGTTTTTCTCAAAAAATGCAAAAATTTCATGGATTTTATAATTTAAAAATTTTTTTGTATTTTTTTCTGAAAAGTATATTTAAAAACAAGAAAAAAAAACGTCCCAATAGGTTGAATTTTGAAAAAGTTATAGCCATTTCAAAAAAGAATAGCCATTTCTTTCAAAAATTAATAATTTTTTTTAGGTTTGGTAAAAAAATTTTAAAAAATTCTGGAAATTGTTTTTCATAGGGTAGAATAGGATAAAAAACTTTCAGCCAAATCGAAAGGGGTCGGGGTCAAAAGTGGCCGATTTGACGTGTAATGCCCCATATATATATATTGTAAGATTCGTGAAAGAAAACTGGACCGCTGGACTGAGACTCGAACCACGGATCTTTCGCTTTCCGGGCGACTGCTCTTTAACCAATTGAGCTATCCAGGGCCCACCGACCAGTTCCCTTCCACGAATGCTTAACAAGTTTGGCATGGAGGCGTTCGTCCTACAATATATATATTGAACAATAACATTAGTTCTTGTTCGATCATTAAAATTGAAAAAACTTTAGTACTTGGATGAATGAACGTTTTGGAACACAGTGTACTTTTGATATCTTTGTGCGTTTCTTCTTTTTTAATTATATAAACTTCGTATGGACAGCAAGAACAGAAAAAATGTTATAGTTTTTATCAATGATTTTTCACGGATCGGTATTCTAAACTTTAATGACATAATTTTTTCTTTTCTTTTAATCTAATTCATTAAATTTCATTCGGTCAACGTTATTTTATGTTTCTACGATTGATGAAGATTACCCTATAAATTAGGGAGACCAAAAAGTAATCAAAATTTCTTCAAGGAGCTCATTCACAGTTAGTTTGTGTCGAGGCATGATCAATGAAAAATCGAAGGACTTTTTTAAAAAGGGAATCAAATAATTGCTTTTACGCTTGCAAAAAGTTTTAGAAAATGATAAAAATTATTTTGTTGATTAGTATTTAAGACTTCTTTAATAAATAAATGTTTTTCGCCACCAAAAAAAAACTTTAATTACTTTTCGGTCCCCTTAATATTATATTTCCTTTTTTTATTTAGAAGAAAAAGTATTTCTCACATTCGATCGCTAAAGTTAAGTAACGTTAGATATATTTATTATTTATGATGAGTGATTAGATATCACTCCGTGAAATTATTTTCTATCTTGATTTTTCAAAAATAACAAATAAATATATCGTTGAAGTTTAGTAGAATGGGTAATTTTCGAAGGGCGATAGAGTACGCGTTTGTTAAGGTAAAACAGCCAGTGGTAGGTAAGCTTCTAATTCGTCGCAGCAATAGAGCTTATCTTCGGTCCAGTAGCTCTCGAAGGTGCGCGCACGCGTTCTCTCATACACACAGGAGAGGACACAAGTAACATCAACCGGTACGATAACATTTTAGTTTAAATTTGGGCTGGTGGCCCGAGGCAAGCCGCGGGCTGATTTAAGGGCCTGTATACGCACCTAAACATACTGCCGGTAGTGGCCTCGGAGGGGTGGAAAGCTTTCCCTAACGGTGAACCTTATGCCAACCGGTAGATAGTCGGTTGCGATAAGCTAAATGCTCGGAATCCCCTTCCCATATTACGCAGGTTATACACCATCGCTGTGGCGCGACAAGCCTCCAAGAGAATCCAACTATTCCCTTTTCTCTCTTTCTCTCTTTCTCTTTCTCTCATCCGCTATCTCCAGTAAAGACAGATCGTTTGGAAAACCAGAACTTGCATTTTAACTACCATTCACGTCTCGTCTATCATATTAATCTACGTGACTCATTTCACGTTCATTATTATAGTGTTCTGATAACCTTTTCTGACAATAGAGAACACACATCAGGGGTGGTAGTAACATTTCAAATTTAAAGAATAATTGAGCCGTTTATTTTGAAAGTGGTGCAAGTATATTTTCAAAAACAATTAAGGTAGCTACTTTAATAGTTACATTTTTATATGGTTTTTTCATTCTGAAGGACCTTGTTCAACAAACAATTGTATTTTAATATATTTAAAATTATTAAGATTTAGTAAGACAAAAATATGTTGGTTATTGAAGTGATGAAAAAGTTTATTTATAAATATATATATATATATATATATATATATAAGAGAATATATATATTTATTTATGTAATATATTATATTATATTTATGTAATTATTTATATAATAGCATTTATATTTATAGATATAATGAGACATTTAAAATGATGAGCTAACGATCAATATTACTTTAATAAAAGCCAATTTAAATACTAACAAATAAAAAAAGCAATAACTTGTAAAGGGAACCTTTATATGAAAATTTTAAATCAGTGACATAAAGAGACTATAGTTACACTGATTTTACTGGTCCTGGTCTTTTCTATACTTAAAAGTTTAAAAAAAAAAAAAAGAAGTTCACAAGAAAAATTAACTTCCTTACAATTATAAAAATATCTTTGTTGATGTAAAAAAATACATTTGTTCACTATTTCATTAAAGTTATATTAATTTAAAAAGACACCTTTTTTAATACATTTTTCCAAGGAAACAGGATTCAATTGTGATAGGGGCAAGCACGATTTATTGGACTATTTTGTATTATATCCGGACGAACCGGGAGCAAGATCTCCGCTCAATTTCCGCCTTGGTTACCCTTTAAATTTAAGATATTCTGTAAATTTTTTTTACAAAATATTGTTTCCGTTGATAAAAATCCAAAATAAAAATATTAACATCAAAATTGTAATAATCGTTTTGTCAAATAAAAAGTCTATTTTAAAGCAACCCTTTTACTTTTCTTCAACGCAATTAATTGGAAAAGTAAGATCAGTGTCCTTCATATTTTCTTTGATCCAAACATCGTATTTTGCTTCAAGTTCGTCAGTGAAAAACTCTTTCCATCCTTTAACTTTTCCTTTTCGTATGAAACCAATTGGTTTTACAGTTTCTTTTGGATTAAGTGACGGTCTGTTCACCATAGGATTCTTACGAAAATTGTCTATATGAAGATGATTAACCAGTTTTAAGACCTCCTCTTCGCTATAGGATTTTTCAAAAAACTTTGCCACCTTTTTAATAACACTTGGCAGGTCCTGTAGAAAATCACATAATTTAGATTTTGTCAATCACTTATCATAATATTTATAGCACAAAACAATTATGAGATCTCACGGTAATGATTTCTTCGTAGAAAATGAATAGTAAGTTCGAACGATGTCTCTCAGCCCAGGCATCTTTTAAATGCGTCCAATAAGGGCAATAATTAGCTTAAACATACAAAATAAAAGGTAAGTTACTCAAACAAAATTTCTCCACGAATGATTTATAAACTGTAATGTGAACTTACTTAAATCTTTCATAAAGTATTCACAGAATTCCTCAAAACTTCCTTGGTATTCTAAACCCTTGATAATCTGTAGGAAATGATACCAAGACACCACTACGTCTTTTGGATTACGTGCAACGTAGACAATCTAATTAATTCAATTATTTTATATATTAAAATATCAAAAATTTTTATTTATTAATAAAATTATATACAGAACGTATACCTTATGAAGTTTTACTTACAATTATTTGTCAAATTATTCGTTACTCATAACAATGTTTCAAACTAAACTATCTTCGTTTCAAAAAGAACATCCTAAGAAAATCCCTAGTTTTGATTACCTTGATAAATTTATTCTTCTAGACAAGTTTTGTAAGCAAATAATGTAATATTATCCGCGAAACAATGAATACTATTGTGCCTAGCACTTTGTGTTTTTTGTATAACGATTCAATTTACTATGACACATATTACATCTTTTCTTTACCATTAACCAGTTAGCTATAATGACCTCTTTAAAAAATGTACATCTAAATTGTTTTGGACAAATGAAGGGATGACAAGTATATTCGTCAAACACAGAGTATGTATAATTATTATAATATTGAATTAAGTTTTAATCAAATGACTATTTTTTTTCTATAAAATTATTTTAATATAACTTTATTACTCTAACATTTATTAATTTCCTTAATTTAAGGATATAGTTTGTATATGAATGAAAAATAGAAACAATCAATTACTTAGAAAATTGATTAATTAGAAATTATATCTACTGTTATTGAATGATATTAAGTAAAGCAATCGTATTATATAATACAATCGTATTATATCATAGGTGTTTACAGACAAATTAGTTCTACAATTTTCAAGAGATTATCTTGAAGAAGATTTTAAGAGATTATAAGATAAATTATTATTTATCTTATTTCATTTCTATAAAGTATACATATATTCTATATATACTTATATATATATTCTATAGACCAGTGGTTCCCAAAGTGGGCGATGAAGCGGTCGAAAAGAGTGATGACATCCACAGGTGAACTTTGGGGGTGGGGGAATGGCAACGGCAAAATGGCAAAGAGGCAATGACTATAAGTGTGCAGTGATGATAGTAATCAAATAAAAAATTAATTTTCAGAGGGAGCGATAAGTAATATTTTTTCTGGAAAGGGGACGATAGGACAAAAAAGTTTGAGGAACCAATCTTACATAATGTTGAATGAAAAAAAGTAATCTGGAAATCTCAAAGATTAGATATTTTTGATTATTAAAAGATAGGACGTATCTATCAACAACAACAACAAATTTTATAAAAAGAATGATAAAAATAAGAAAACAAAAAAAATTAAATATATTGTTACAACTTATGTAATGTTGATTCTTGGGTTGTTCCTTGTTTTTTATATTATATATTTTATAATAGCCAATTAAATTTTTAGTAAACTGTAAATTGTATTATAAGGAAATGCAAAATTAGAATGTTTCTTTCTAAATAGCTTATTTACAATCAAGATATCACATTCGTAATTATTATTCGTTTTTTATCCCTAATATTAAGGGTATTTTCATAAATAAATTCAATTAAAATTTTATAAAATAAAAAAACAGATTTTCTTACCGATAATCCCTCTTAAAAAATTATGATTGAAATAAGTTTTGTATGAAACACTTCTTTAAATAAGGAATAAATTTTAGAAATAGTTGGGCGTAAAACTTCATATGTAAATGTCTTGTACATACACATATACCTTGCATTCACTATCCAGAAGATTGGGCAATAATTCGAAAGGCATATGGGTTTTGATGAATCTTGGAGATGGTAATTTATTAGAAAATTCTGGATTCAATCTTTCAATTTTCTCACCTGTCTGACTGGTTAGAAAATCATCATAATCGCCAGTTAATATGTCAAGCCTATATAAAAAAAATGTAAACCTTTTGATAATAAACGTTTCGTTTGAGAATAGGTAATAGATTCTTCTTATTTCATGAATTTTTCTATTTATAAATTACCATGTTTACGAGAAGCTAACGGACTGATCGAAGTGGAACTTACTCGAAGAATGGAAATCTATGATGCAGGCTTCGTGTCTTCGCTTCCTCGAAGTTCATGTTGTTCGCGACCAACCAAACCAGTTCCAATGTCACTGTGGTGCCTAGTTCAAGAAACAAATTGTCTATCCTTACGTAGATATGTATATGGATGTATACACTCGAGATAGCTATCTATTTATCGTGTCAACAACTTTAGGAACATACAAAAATAACATTGCAATTTCCGTCGTTAAATCATCCGCAACCGGATATACAGTATTTAGATAATTCGTGTTTATTACAGTAAAATGTATGAACAAAATACTACAGTATAACGTCAATCATTTGAAACGTCGATCATCTGAATATCGGTTATACAAATATATTGTATTATAAAACGATTCACGAATATACGTATTTCAATTATGTATTTAAAAGCTTTATGTATTATGAGACAGAGTATTCTAATTTTTCAAATGTTAGAGTTTAATAGATTGTGTGATTGTATTGCATTTATAATCATTTGTAATATCTCGTCAACGGTCCTTAACGAAGCAATATCAAAAACGAGATATCTTATCTACGGTCCGCAATATGTTAAGAAGTTAAAAATAAATTTTTCTAATTTTGAAACAAACTAAAAATTTACCTGATCGCGGGAAAGAAACGACCCAAGTATCATCCGGGCGAGGCTTTGAATTATACACAGCACTTCCTTCTTCGAGATATCTATAGGGCATAGTCCACTTCTTCTCACCAACTTTTATAAAACCTCTCTTAGATGCAGCAAAGTGTTTCTCCGCTAATTTTTTCTCTTCATCGTTGAAAAATACGTATTTTGGTATTTCGCTCTCCATTGAATATTATTATTACAAATAAATCACTTTTTCTCTCTCTCTCTCTCCCTCTCACTCTCTCTCTTCTCAATCCTGGATTCGTTGTGCGATCCTCTTTCACCTACGATAAAAACAGAACTACTGAGTTGGCTCTTACAAAGTTGTTTTATATGTGTTGCTTATTCTACTGATGATGTAATAATTTGAATTTATCGTGTTTGCGTAACTGATAATGTTTCAGACTTAAAGCAACATTGTGATCATTAGTAAAAATCTACAAAATACTTAACTATTATTGTAAACAATAAATTTTATTTCATTTCCTTCTTTCTTTTTTTGTTTCTTTATTATTACAAGGAAACATTACAAATTTTAACAACAAATGCCCAACCAATTTTAAGAAAAAAGCTTTTAAAGTTTTGCTTTTTCTTATATCTGTTTTATATTTCTTCAAATATAAATTTTTTTTATGCAATTGTTGCGTAAGCGTAAATATTAGCGCCCTTGCTTCTTGCGCTGGTGATTTGGGTTCAATTCCAAGTGAGGAAACGTTTCTTTATTTTATAGATTTTTTTATTCATAAATCTAACACATTTTTTCCATATTTCTTAATTTTTAATTATATACAGAAAAGAGAATTAAAATTATTACTAAAAAAATTAAAAACAATAAATTTTTGAGCATCTTGCACAAATAATAAAGATTGATTACTTAGATTATAGTTAACATTTTATTTTTTAATAGGTGTATAAAAATATATAAAATTTCAATGTCTCTAATAGCTTATGTCCTTTACTATTTTCAAGGTGTTTGTATAAATGTAGCTGTAATAAAACTCTTTTTAACGATGAAAGCAAACTTGATCTGCTAGAAGGAATGATATTAATATTAAATATATTAATAATTAGAGTATATATAATTGTTTTTGTTAATGTTGAAGTACATATTATAAATATTGTAGAAATTGTAATAAATCGACTAATAAGGTCGCGCTTACATTTGTTAAATTATATTATATAACTATGTTACCGCCAATGTACGAAAGGCCGGCATTGTACAGAATTCTTAGGCATTGTATATTATGTCCTACGTTTTTAGTCAATGTACGAAATGTAAAATTATTAAATACTTTCTCTAGGTATTATATATACAATACCTAAGCATTCTATATAAAATGACAAATGCTATTTAACCAAAGTATAATAAAAGATCCTGATAAGGCTATTATATAAATGACGTGCATTCCTCAAAAGTATAAATGTTATTCTGAAAAAATAAATATTATATTTTTATAATGGCATCAATCATTAGTCCTTTCAGAAATATTGTCACACACACACGCACACATAAATATTCTCACATCCTACATATATATATTGTGGCTTTGTTAAAAAATGTTGATTTAATATAATTCTAAACTTTTTAGTAAATTATAACAATACACAAAATAATATCACAATTAGAATGGAATACTTAAAATAATAATATCAAAAAAAAAAAATAAAAAGCAAGGTTAGTTATGTCATATGTAAATTTAAAGAAATTTAAAGAAAACGTGTGAAGTGAATAAATTGAAATGATTGAATTGTAATACAACGCCATTTATTGAAAACTCAAAGTATCTAGAGACCTAGATAACTTTTTAATAATAAATCCTTAAATTAGCAATAAATGGTTTACATCCTTGATAAATTCATGGCAATAAATTTGATTATAATGAAGATAAAATCAGTGTTGAGTGTATTCCTAGGATCATGGAAAACGTGTCAGTTTGTTTCAATACCTTCATTTCTTTCTTAATTGAATTTTTTTTAATTTTACAGTTCCTTTTTCACATGTGTGTGGTCTCATCCAATCTTACCTGCCACGTATTTGTCTTAAGCTAAATAAAAGATAGCCGTGACTGCACGAATGTGTAAATAATAATTTGTTAGCGAAGAAATTAACTAGTGCTCATCATAATCAAATTATTAGAATAAAAACTAGAGCTCTGGCAGCCACTGATCCCAGCCGCGCCAGGTGAAGAATATATTATGTATGAAAAAAAATATATCTCTATCTCAATCCTTACTTACTATTATTTAAATTCACAAATATTTAATATATTATACAGTAAGGAGTAAAATTGAACACCCCTTGTAATTATGCTTTTACATTCTTTTGGAATTGCATAAATTTTTTCGTCTTTTCATTGCATACGTAATTTTGGCCCTTTAATTCTCTCATGGCTGTCTACTTACTAATTGACTTTCCTCTCTTTTAATACATTTGCAGCTATAGAAGTACTCAAAGTTTCACCTATTTCAATGTATCCACATAACATTCTTTTTTTTGTGGTGTGTATAAATTCGAGCGCCTTTTAAATGACATTGGTGTATTAACAAAATATTTTTTTCTTATCTTTTGCACAAGAGATTTACTAACATTTCATTCTCTTGCAATTTTTCATGTGGAAAAACCAAACTGTAATTTTAAAATGATGTTATTTTTTTATTTCCATCGATGTTGATTTCATATCGAAAACGAGTTCATAAAACACTTCATTAATTGCACAACTAATACTGTGGAAAAGTAATATGTATGCATTAAAAAAAATTACCACTAGTGAGTAATATCATTTTTATAATGGTGAAAGCTTAGGTACTCTTAAGAGACCGATTTCGGAAACAATACAAAACTCGGTACAATCGAATAACCTTTTTCAAAAATATAAAAAATCAAAACCTATATTGTAAGGTCGTGAAAGCTAACATATAATGTTGACTTTTATATGTTATCTTTTTTGTGCTTATCACTGTAAATATTGAAAATAGATAAATATAGAGTCAATAGCCTAGTCACGTTGAATTGTTGATTGCTATTTTCCGGCAGATTATTAAAATCAAATAATGTGGACACACATACATAACATAGCTGAGTGACCAATTCGGAGAAATAAAAGCAAAAATTGTGTGCTGTTAACTCCTAGAGTGACGGTAAAAAGATGCGACGTCTTTGGTAGTATTGAATAAGTCTAAGAAGGTGTTAGTAAAGAAGTGAATTGGACTTATAAAAGGGAGAGTAAAAAGATAAGAATACATTGAAAATAGATAAATATTTATTGAATATTTACACTTAAGGATTACGTGACATTTATTTAATATTTTTTATTTATAACTAATAGTTTCAACAAAATGTTTTTCAAACACTATAACGACGATTAATTGAATGAAATCGTTATGAGTTGTTATATTTTAATTACCATCAAAAATATTATTAATATTCAAAAATAAATCTGTTCTGTGCAAGGTTAAAAGATTTCTTCATAATAAAGCAAAACAAAGAATAATTTAATCTAGATACAATGTTACAAGGTTGAGTTCTTAGATTACTAACTATTAATTTCACTGATTATTAATCATTGGTTAATATAATATTTATAATATAATGATAATGTTTGTTTTATATTTAATAAAAAATTAATGGCAATTATTGATATAAATAAATAAATAAAATATTTATATTTTTAATCCTTAAAATAATAATATAAACAATAGGAATAAAAATTAAATGCTTTTAATGTTAATAAATCTTAATTATTAACTATTTGCTTTTTCGTTTTTATACATATTTTTATATATAACTGTAAAATCATAAATGTCTGTCCGCATATCGTTGGTTCCATTTTTTTAAGTTTTACGTATCGCTTATAACTTCCTAAGCAACTTTTATTTACCGATTGTAACATTGCTAATTTATTTATTTAATTTTATAAATATACTAGGGGTGCTCGGGCCACGCGTTGCTGTGGCTAATAAATATATAGAATCTACGCCCATAACATTTGTCGTCTTTTTCTATTTTTTCTTAATATCGAACCAACTGCGCATGAGCGGTAACATAAAATCACCACTTACTTCACATCATATAATTTTACATTGTCTGAATATAGGCACATATCATTTGTCTTTTTTTTCTCTTTTTTCTTAATATCCTTTTAAAGGAAAAATAATTATGGTGGGTCACCCTTATCACTCAGGGGTATAAGAAATAAACGAAAAACTATTCTCGTACCTACTGAATATACACAAAAAATTTCATATAAATCGGTCAAGTCATTTCGGAGAATAAGAATAACAAACACTGTGACAAGGGAATTTTATAGAGATAAGATATAAAAAAACAAAAATATTTAAACTACTAACCTAAGCTGAAAGAAAAAAATATTTCCATCTGACCACTCAATTACTTGTTCGGAATATTAGATAAAAAAAGACTTATAACGATAAGAGTTATCTGTTATCGTAAATAAATATTATGTTTCACGCTTAATCTTATATTATTTTCAAATAAAATTTATAATCATTATTATTTCCAATAATACCTGAAAGAAATTTGTGTTCTTGTACTTTGTAATGACAAAATTAAAAGTCATAGTATCGTTTTTTTAAAAATCATGTAGCAATGAAAATAAAACTTATTTTAAGGTTTACATAAATTCTAATATCAATGAAGAGAAAGAACTGAGTGAGATTTTGACAATTTTTGGTTTGCAAAATTCATCAGAAAAAAAATAAAATTAAAAACAGAATGAAAGCCAAAAGTAAAAATAAAATGAAATAGAAAGTATTTCAAACGCAATAGTCGTTTATATAAACGTTCAGATAATGTATAATATTTCGGGCATTGTATAGAATACCCACGTTAAATGGGCAATACGTATAACGAGCAAATATTTTACAGATGGCACGGTTGTTCTATATAATGCCTAGAAGATTTCGGTCTATCTATAAACTGTGTTTAGAGTTTGGGGGAGGGAGATAGGAAAAGAAGAAAATTTAAAACTTTTGAAAATGAAACAAACAATATAAATTTAAAAATCCCTCATACTTTCTCCCCTATACTATAACACAGCCAACTAAAGCACATTTTATAAATTGACCAAAATCCACTGGGCATTCTGTAGAATATAACTGGACATTCTATACAATGCCCGCAGTAATACATTGCCCATAACATATATATTTCAAACAGAGTTTTAAATAGTCTCTTTCTCTCTCTCTCTCTCTCTTTCTCTCTCTCTCTCTTTCTCTCTCTCTCTCTCTCTNCTCTCTTTCTCTCTCTCTCTCTTTCTCTCTCTCT